GTCCATAAATCGCATAATCTCCTAAACCCCCCCTCCCCCCCACTGCCTCCTAAACCCTCAAACCTTGCTTAGCCCACTTTAAGCTTAAAACGTTTTCGGGGGTTTCGAGGTCTCCGACAAGCTGGATCAGGGTCAAACAGAGGTGTGCGAAAGGGCTTTCCAGAGGGCAGAATTCAGCTTCATGGAGGTCAATTAAGGGGTGGAGCAGGGTAATACGGCGGGGTTGAATCAGGCAATATTGGGGGTTAATCTAGAAGAATGTGGGAGTTCATTTCGGATGACGCTGCGTTGGATGGCGTCTGAAAGAGGTCGAGGCTTGGGGTTGGGATTTGGAGCCGCCATTCGGCGTCTGACAAGCTGTTTCGCTGCATGGCGGTCTCACGCCCTGGTTCTATTTCAAAATGGGGCCACGAACCTTTCAAGCGGCAGGGTGGCTTCCTGCAGCACAGCCTAGCAGGCTTGGCAGAGTCATAGTCACGGCTGCCTCGCGGCAGCAGCGGACAATGCGAAGCGGAGGATGTCGTGATCAAGAACGGCTTCCAGCGCTATCATGGGCTGCCGACCAGCATGTCGAGACGCCTGTTGTGGCTGATTGGACTTGCCGGCAGGGTGAAAAGGCCTGGCTCCCCAACTTCCAAGGCCCTGAGGTGAGACCAGTCAAGACTGGTCGAGACTGGTCAAGACTGGTCGAGACTGGTCGAAACTGATGGAAACTGGTCGAAACTGGTCGAGACTGGTCGGGGCCGGTCGAGACTGGTCGAGAATGCTTCAAAAACCTGGAAACTAGCGTATTTTATGCCAGTCTCGACCGGTCTCGACCGGTCCCGACCAGTCTCGACCAGTCTCGACCAATCTCGACCAACCAATCTTGCGGTCTCGTCGACTGGGCCTCAGCCGACGGGCTTGGTCACAGGCCCAAAAAGTCTCTGCAGCCTCCAGCCTTCCAGGAATGTTGCAGGTTCTGCAATGCATTCTGCTGGGCTGGGCTGGGGTCAGCGGAACTGCTTCACAATGACAAGCTGATCTGGTTTGCGCCACAGTTCCGTGTAGCTATGACACCAGCTTCCCGATGCTTCCGTCCACGAAAGCCAACAGCGTGTAGCAGCAAAGAGTCAAAAACCGCTGACGAAAAGAAGTGACGGCTTGAACGCTGAATGAAGGCATCCTCCAGCAAGTGGGCCTCCCTCCAATCACTATTGCTACTGCTACTAGGGCCTGCAATGGAGCATTGCACCTAGAAATAACCTATCGACGTCTGATCTGAACTAGGCCTTGCGACGGAGCACCACTACCTGCACCATCGTTTGCACCTCCGATAACCTCCAAAAATCTACTCCGAAATTAGGTCCTGCAACGGAACACCACTACCCGCACCAGGCTTCGCACCATGAAATAACCTCGAAAATCCAAACGTTTTAAGCTTAAACTCAAACCCCTCAGCCCAACGAACCCAAAAGCCATACATGCCTGCAGTCACAAGTGCGGAGACGCCCATGAGGGAGTTTGTCCCGATTGGCACTGCAAGTGATGGTCTTTTGGTAGTCCCAAGTGCCGCATCTTTGCAGTCGCAAGATGTCGCAAGTCATTGGTTGGCCAAGTAGTGGGAGTGAACCCGAAGGCCGCTGTGTCCATTCGTGTGCTTCGCGGTGGAGACGTCGTTGCTTGGCGCAGATAAGCAGACAGATTCTCAGGCGAACTTAAAGAGGCTGAAAAGCCATTCCTGCTAGAATTCGGGTCGGCAACGGCAGAATTCCTCCCTGCAGCGCAGCCAGAGAAGTGCCTGTAGCAAGTCAGATTCTGCGTCAACAGGCTCTAAGCTCTTAGTGGTAAGATCCTGATTTAGCGGGCCTTCGAACCCTTTCCACTGGTGATGTCTACGACCACGCGCGTTTCCGAAGGCTTTGGTCCCTCTTCATATTCCCCAAGACTGCGGATCTGCTATCGAGACCCATAAAGTGATTTACGATTTTACGTATTCTCGCTGCTACCCAGGCAATACCGTCCATATCAGTCCTGGGTTGTCCTGGAAGAGACCCCGCACATACACATCCTGCCTAGATATGCCTAGATTTTTTGAAGTGGCAGGCCTTGGGCTGTTCGTGGCGGTTTTGCCGCCGCAGCCTTCGAGGCGCTACAGCGGGCTGTGGAGGCCTCTGACTCGGACGTGCCACTTCAGAATGCCAAGTTGAAGAAGTCATCAACTGGTTGTTTAGGTTTCTGAAATTTTGATGAAGAACATGCGAAGCGATCCTTGGAGATCGTATGTCACGATCCGTCAAGACATATCCTCTGCTTAGGCTAGTTGGAGGGTCTGGGGCTTTGTTGCAGTCAGTGAGGTGAGGTTAGCTTTCATGCTAGTTCGACTCCACAGCCTTGAGACTTGCTGGAGGTCGAAGCTTTGGATGTTGGACTGCAGTCGTTTTGCTTTCCGGACTTGTGGGAAATTCTAGCGCCACAAACTACTGGTGTACTTGAGTCAAATCATATGGCCTGCACAGCTTGGATGGGTCCGTCTCTCGCTGACGCCTTCAGCCTTGGGCTTGCGAAAGCCTTGTGACAACCTGCAGGCGCCACACCCCCTGGAGCGGCCTGCCACTTGACAAACTTGAGCACTTAGCCGGTTTACCCTGCTTTAGCGGGCACTTGGGGGATCTTGGGGGGCATGAATGCAGACAGCAAGCATCTCGTCAAGGCGTTGCCTGACCACGTAGCCTTTGCTGTCCCCACGGTTTATCTTTACACGCGCTGGGTGGTAAGTTTTGCAGTTTAGCTGCCATGGACATGGCGCAGGGATGCTAAAGGAACTAGATCTGACGGTGCTGTGATGATCCAATGCTTTTGCCGTCGGGTCCCCAGTTTCCGAACATGACTCCCCTCAAGTTACCGCAAGGCTTCTAAGATGGCGTGGGCCGGGGGTCTCCCTCCTCACGACTGCCAGGGTTCCCTGGGTTGGTTTCTCTAGCTTATTCTTGAAGGTCCCCTGGCACAACGTAGGCACCTACAAGAATCAGGTCACGTTACTCTGTCAAATTCCGAGAATGTATAGGACAGTCTGACAATTGCAGGTTTGCCTCGTTACGTTCGACGAGATCGTGGCCCGTCAAAAGAGTGCGATTGGTGTGTGACTTCTCGCTGACTTTGTGACAACACTCATCCCGCGTATGCAGCCACTAGTATCACCGGGTGAGCCCAGTGCTGGTTGAGGTCACTTTCTATGAGCCTACTCACAAGGGGCGCTTCCGCGCTGTGGCCACCAGACAGCACAGAACAGCTGAGTTGCTCCCCTGTGGTGAAGACCTGAGCTGGGTTTGGTTCGAGTCATACAGACTCGTGACTAAGTTATCTTGTCACACTGCCTGAAGAGCCCATTCACACCTGAAGCCAGGTGATGCCTGATCTGGATGATCCGTTCTTACCAGTGAATCCAGAGACACTTGGAGCGCCTCCGACCATACTGGTGAGTGACGAGAGCTGGGGATGACAGTGGATTTCAAGGCCTGGCCTTGTCTGCCCCATCACCGGCTGCTGAGGTGAACTTGCAAGACCCGGAGCACAAGGCTTCATTTCTCGAGCTGCTGGCCGCCATGCAGAAGGAGTATGGCCAGGACCTGTGCGCGCGCAGTCTCGTATTATGTTGAGTTGTCTGTCTTGCAGCCTGACATATTCCACCAACTGCTCTTGTAGTTTATTGTGTTTCCTCAGTTGCGTGCTGCCTCTGCTGTGCCTCTATCATACTGCATTCAGCTTCCTTTGTTTGCAGTGCTTGGGCTTCCTTTGCTGAACACTTGCAAGATGCTTCAGGGCAGTTGGCTAGTTTCGCTCGTGCAAGTTCGAAGATGCCAGGATGCGTGGCGGCAGGAGCCTACATCACCTTTGTTCAAGGCTCCTTGGCTCATCATGCCCAGTCGGCATGAAAGAGCCGATCATCGGTTCCCAGCTGTTTTTTTTTGCTATTTTTTTGTATTCTCTTCTTCTTCTTAGGCTACAGGCGTTGTTTGAGTAGCTGAAGGCCATGAAGGAAGGATGGAAGAGTTGGTGTAAAGTAGGAGAACGGGGAAGAAAGACAGAACGTCACCAAGAAAGAGCGAGACACAGAAAGAAAGAGAGGAGGGAAAGAAAGAAAGAAAGAAAGACAGAAGGCAAGAAGGCAGAAACATATCAATAAAAGTAGCAGTCATGATACGAATCTGTATCATGCAGGCCATAGCAGTCATTCTATTGATCATGGTAACCATCGCAACCGGAACAAAACTAGACGCAGTAATAGCACAATAATACTAGTGTAATTAGAAATATCAACTAATCAGTACTAATCATTTTAAGAATGTTTGTTTTTGGCGTATTGTCTTGTTTTGGGGGGTTTTGGCTGCAAGGAGGCAAGGACGCAAGGCAACAGTGAGCAAGGAAAAATGGATGCAAGAAGGACCGCAAGGAATCCTCATTAAAATTGGGGGTTCTGCCCCGCACCCCTGGCGCTCTTTTTTAAATGTGAATCCGTACCACGTCTAACAGTGAATCCTCAGCAGCAATTACTGCACTCCTCAATGGTTAACAAACACGGGGGATGCGCCCCCCAAACCCATTTCAATCTTGACGGCGTAGAGACCTACAGTAGATGCAGCCAGTGACCTGGGATATCCCTGTTGTCAGCATGAGGAGGGCGATCCCTTCCATCTGCATGCAGAGACGCAGGACTAGCGGGCGCGCGCAATATTAGGTTGCTGCCGACAGATCACATGAACTCTTGCTAGCGTCTTGAGCAGATGAAGCCATGCAACTGCCAGTAGTAATCGTAGGATTGTGCTGGCATGAGCTTGATTTGATACATGCTGTCCTGCCTGCTAGGATGTTGCGAGCACGGCCGCTGCTTGGTACGAGTATGCTGCAGAGACCAGAAAGTCATTACTCAAGATCACAGTATCCCGTGGCCTCCGCACTGAACATGCAATCATCTCCGTTGTGCCGAGGTTTTGCGGACAAGCGTCCAAGCGCTTACTGTCATGGGAGGAGGCGACGTCGTCCTGTTCCAGGCCTGGGGAGCCTTCTTTGTCCAGGTTTGCGAGCTATGAAAGAGCTTGTGACCACTAAAGCCAACAGCTATCGGTTGCAAGGTACTTTTCCTACCTGCCATGTGACAGTTGGTTGCGTAGCTGTCCACTTGACCCCCACACAGTGTGAGCCTTCTCAAGCTCCAAAGAAAGGCGACGGTCGTGGAAAGCTGGATCGGCGACAGCGACTCCTCAGTCGAAGCGGACGATCCGCTGTCGCCGAAGACCCCCAAGACGCCCAAAACGCCCAAGACGCCCATGGGGACGCCTTTGAAGAAACTCGGAATCTACATTAAAATAGGGCAGAGGGCCCAAGAGGCTCAGGTAGGCCGTCGTGTTATGTCATTGGCACTGCTGCAACTGCGGAGCTGCTGGTCTGGTAGGAGGATTCTGCTTTTGCAAGGGTCCTCATTCTTGCCATCACTGCAGGGCAAAACTCTTCGATTCTCTTCAGAGCCTAAGGAAGAAGAAGCGAAGCTTCCTGGAGCAGATGCATCGCACTTGCTGTCGAACAGGCTGCACTTTTGCACTTCATCCACCTTCAGCGAGGTTTTCCATATGTTCTCAGAGTTTCTGGGGACATGCTTTGCGTTGAAGAAACATTCGGTTTCAGGTTTGAAACTTCGGTTTTGGGGTCGTGGCTCGAGTAAGGCTTAGCTACATAGCTGAACGAGATCCAGCAGCTATCACAAGAGCACCACTGACTTTTTCTCTATAAAAAAACCATGCCTGGCATTTGACGATTCGGTAGGACAATCGAGATTAGGAATTCTTCCAATGTTGCAGCCATGAACGAACAAGATAGAGACACCTTAAAAGTCCTCTTTTGGCAAGTGAGCCATATTGAGCACGTTTCAGCGTCATGTATGTAGGGAAGGAGAATAGAATTTCTGACTGAATCAGAGTTGCTGCGCACTTGCTTGTTCGACGACTGGTGTTTGAAGCCACCCCCGTCCCCGTGCAAGAAATTGCACAGAATGGAGAAGCATCATGTGTCTGTGGCTCTAGATTCTGAACCAGCCCCGTTATCATTGGTATGCAAACTCGCTTACGGATGAATTAAGGTTAATGGGATCACAACGAGTAGCATAAAAGCTGAGCCGTCGTCCAGGGGTTGCCGTCAGTGCAGTGACGGTGGCCAGAGAGGGTTGCGATGCTACGAAGCTCCACTGGTTGCCCTGGCGGACGGGCGGTGATGTGCCTTAGCAGGTAAACTGGGCTTTCTATCAGGGTCGCTACCGGTGAGTCTCCAAGGTGCTGCACATGCCAAACTTCGGTCCTGGAGCGGGCCAGAACATGGCCCAGCATTTGCAGCACTGGATGCGGAAGATGCAGGGTAGTGCCCTGGCTGCGCCTATTTGTGTAACTGGATGCCAAGCTAACTCCTTTGCAGAATAGGCATTCCCGTAATTTGTTCGTAACGCCTACCCAGAGCCTGAACCATGTTTGCAACCTCATGGAGCCTTTCAATGTGGGTTGACACGAGAAAGATGAGCAAGAGCACCCACAAGGTGCCTACAACTGCGTGGTGAAGTTCCGGTGCAGCAAAGGCCGAGATGAACTTCTGCCACTCACACCCACGGAGATGTGCACAAGAGAGCAACACAACTGTGCAGCAAACTTGTCAGCTCACGGACCGTGTCCACACAGCTTTCTGGTACTGTACTGTATCCCGAGTGTCGCTGGAAACTGTTACACCCTCCACGGCAGAGCTCTGAAATGGAGGGCCCAACACTGCTGCCAGCAAAGTGGACCATACTCATGTACAGCTTGGGTCAACTCGTTCAAAGATTTAGAAGCCACACACCTGCACTCGATTTTTGAGCTTGCCATCACAGCTTTCATCCTTACTGTCGCCAATGATGGAAAATTAGGCAAGCCTCGCGGGGCCCAATGAGTATGTACTTCTCAGCAGGGCTGCCGATGCCAGGTGCGCCTATTCCTGCTATCGAAAAGTGGTTAGGTTGCTGACTGCACCAGTGCACCAGGTCTCAGCTGCAAGTCCTTGTTAGCACCATGGCCGGCCGCCGCTTCGGCGATGGATCAGAGCGCCTTCGAGGCGAGCTGAGGGACTCGAGTGTGTTTTGGCAAAGTGGAGCGGGAGCGTTTCGCATAGATGTGAGTTTTTCCTTGTGTGCATCAGGCACTCCATTTCTAAAGCTGTTGACTGCCTGGAAGTATGCCTGCAGCTCTGCGGTTCGACGCCAGGTGCCACGACTTTCCCCAGAGATGTCGGTGGCCTTCATTTTGCGGCCTGAGGTCGAGAACGAGATGGAGGAGGCATAGCGAGTCAAAGCCCGTTCGGCTAGTCAGCGAAGATAGTGTCAAGAGATGTGACGCGATGTGATGAGATGCCATCCGTCTGCGGTAGGCTGTGCCCTGTTTTGCTGTTGCGCCATGTCCAGAATCCTAACCCAGGGGCTTGGGACAAGCTGCCCACCCGTTGCAGCCTCGAAAGGACTACGCCCGCATCCGCGACCGAAAGTCTTTGTCTGTGCAAGCAGCAATTCTGCGCCTAGCATTCATTTCAGGATACGTCTTGCTTTCAGGCAGAAGCACCCTCTTGTCAAAGCCCTGATACCTCAGCCTCAGCCAGACTGCCAACTTCTTTGAACTGCCTTGACGCCGGTACCGTGGGTCCTTGATTGATCTAATGGATGGGGCAAGGCCACAGAATCGGCACTTTGGTCAAGACAGAGGCTAAGTCAGCGGATTAAGAGCACTTCCACGCAGCCCATCGATGAATCAGAGCCTCATGGCAAATCTGAGCTGTGCCCTCGCAGCTCTCTTGGAAGGCGCGGAGAAACGTACGTGCAGCGAGCATGATTGCAAGATAGTCCCAACTCTCGGGAGTATGGCCCGAATAGTCCTACAGGAAAGGGGCCCCAGAAACGGCTCGTGCTGCCACACATAAAATTGGACGCAGCCTGCAATTTGCGCGCCTACTTCCAAAAAAGACTTACCTGACCTATGAGGTATAGGCAGTGCTGTTGCAATCGTGACCTACCCCCTTGCAACCCACATTGGAGAATCACATTCCGCAGATGCCAAAGCCAACAAAGCCAAAAGCAACACGCATTTTCCCCCAAAAAACCAGCAAATCCTGTGGCCCCAGACCTCCATCTGAGGTATACCAACTCCAAGGGGGAGAGGTTGCTCAGGATGTTGGCCAGCTTGAGTTGCAGGTGTGTTGCCAGCTGATCCGGCCAATCCTGGAATTGAGCGATGTCAGCCGTTGACCCCTCCTGCGGCAACAGCAAGAACTTTTGATCACACCGACCGTGGTGGCTTTTTGGGGCTAGGTTGCCCAGCAAGACATGAGCTGGTGGTGCTATGGTGACAGAATGGGCCACCCTATCCGCAGAAAGGCAGAACGGAACAGAGCATAACACGGAGTATGAGTATGCGGCTTATTAACCGTTAGTTGGGGGCTTGTTACACACGCGGCCAGCTGAGCTGGAACCATTCATATTGAGCGAAGTGGACAGCAGGACCCACACGCGGAGCCTGGGGGTACCGAATTCTGTGAGGCAGCGCTGTTTGCTTCTGAGTCTGTCATGATCCAGTCACATTTGCTTAGCAAGGAAGCTCTGTCCGGTTGTGAGGATGAGCATTGATACCGCAAGCAATCACTGCAAGACATGCGGAGGCAGCTCTACCAGAGCGTGAATCTTGCGCCGCTCATGACAGTACTCCTGAAACAGGCGCGGCAGGCATAGATTGAAGGGCATCGTGTCTGAGATAGAACCATAATGCTGCATCAGAATAATTCGTCCCCTGGCATCCCTGTCTTTTGTCACAGTGGACGCTCGCTCACTGACTTGGTGGCTCCATCTCGCATTTTGCTTCTGCGTCCCTCTGTTAAATGTTTTGTGTTAAGGAAGCATGCTCGGCTTCCATGCTGCGCAGCTTCGGGACCCTGCTTACATGAAGCGCAAACCTTGTATGTGTATGCCATCATCCCGAGTCCAGTTACCTAACTTCTTTGACACACCGGCGGATGCAGATGCTACACGAAGGTCATCCAAAGAGCCTAGTACGATATCAGCTCGGGGACGCATGAAGCAAGCATGCCGCTCGTGAAAGCATCGCGAAACTCCGACGCGAAAGGGGCGGTGAAAGGGTTGTTTTTCGGAGAAGGAGTATTTGTGTACTTAGAGCTCCAATGACATGTGTATTGCAGGAAGGCTCCATTTTTGATTCCAAAGGAAAAACTAGACTGGAGCTGCCTGCGCTGCGACAAGAGGTTGGGAGGCTATCTCCGCAGTCACTGTGCTTTGTCGTGCTTCGCAAGTTAGGCTGTTGCAACGGCGCTGGACCCCGCGCAGTCGGCCAAGCTCCCGCGGGACCTGCTCATGGAGAGCTGCTTGCAGGAGCCATGCAGCGGGCAGTTGCAGCAGCTTCAAGTGTGTCCTTCATCGCAAGAATCAGAACGCAAGGTTGTCATGAGGGTAGCTCGCAACCACAGCTTCCAGAACAAGATCTTACAAGAACATTTCATGCATTCGAGGTGCGTGAACGTGCGCATGTTGATTGGGTCCTCCGACACAGCCCTAAGACCTTGAGATCGTTTGGGTGCTGATTGTTCTTGATGTTTATGTTGTTCCGGCATTTTTCCGCACCCTCCGAAACAACATTGCACGAATCGCAAATGCCTGATGCCGTCCTGCTAGATTCTCGGTACTTTTCGGAGACGGTGCGTGGAATACACCACCAAAAATTGTTTAGCGGCGCCCTCGGCTACAGTCTTAGAGTTGCATCGGCAGCTGCGTCGGATTGCTTTCTGTGGGGTGGACGTTTTGTCATCAGGAATCCCTATTCGCTACTCATGCTATCAGACATGTTGTGGAGCCATGTGGAGCCCTTTTCTGAACAAAATGCAGCTTGGTATGCAACCATGGCCGACTGCTAGGAGGTGCGTGTTCAATTTAGATTGTTCTGGCTGGGTTGAACAAGTGGAGCTAAGGTCACAAACAGGCAATTAATGCTTTTTCCGCTCTATGTGTCCGCCTCAGCCTACGCGGACCTCTGCAATTTTCTTGCAGGCTCTGATTTTGGTTCTTTCTCTTGCCACAGTGCTCAGTTTAGCATGAAGATTGTGGGTTGTGGTTGCCCAGGCCAGCCAAAAAGCACTTTTCCGTAATGGCCCAGGTTTTGGCGGCCCGGAAATTGCTCTACGCTTTGACAAGCTCCAAAGAGGACAAGGCAAGGCAAGGTCAAGAAATCCGTGTTTCTTAAGACATGCTTGTAGTTCACACGTACTCCGAGCACTAGCTTAATAGAAGGGGCCACATTTAAACATTTTTTGGGGTAAAATTCGCGTGCAAAGACTAGATACAAGTGGGTGGGTGGCTTTTCGTATGGGGATAAGGGACTACACTGAAAGAAAGTTTCTGGGAAACCCATCCTAATAGTACATGAAGCGAGCACTTTAAATTACATTTATTGCAATCCTATTCTTTTAAACTGGAGTTCCAGGAACCCCAATCATTCTTTTAATTTGGCGCCTCCATTTCTTATTCTGGCGGGGGGGGGGGCGGGCGGGCCCAAATTCAACAAGTGCTTGGATTAAGGATACTACGGCCACAATGCATATGTTGGCAGCTTCTTGTCTCCCAGCTTGCGAAGTATCCGTATCCAAAGAGAAGCTCAGAAACCTCAGAGTCGCAAGCTAATCCTTATTCCATACTGCAACTTACTCAGGAAGACATGAGAAGATCCGCCCAAAGTTGCAAAGCACCGCTCTCTTTGGTGGTCCGACCCACCAGACCTCAGGGTTTTCAGAAGATTTTAAGAGCCTGCGAACAATGAAACAAACAGCATGTTAAAAACATGCTACAACTAACGTGACACTGCTGCAGCCGGACAGCAAAAGAGGGAATGTGCTTGCAGGTACCGACCAGCCTAGAAACTTAGGAAAAGGTTACTATCAGTTTGCAATGCTAGCGCCGCCAAATGCGCCTAAATGTTTAAGTATTGGATCATGTGGGATAGTGGGTCAGTCTATGAAGACATTTAGATAATTCAGAAATACTCAGAAGCTTTATAGCCACAATCTGTGGGCCAGGTCGTTGTAGAGAACGCCTACACACCCGCTGCATTGCGTCCGTCGCTTCAAAATGCTTTTATGAGCTTGATTTCAACCCTTTTCTTTCAACCCTTTTCTCCAACGCTTGAATCGAGGGTTGGGTGTGTATGCCAGTGGAGAAGGGTCCTCCACAAAAAAACACAAGCAAGACTGCAAAGAGTGCGGCAATATCGTTAACCATCCACCCGTACCAGTGTTTTCAATGCACATCTTGTCTGTGGTCAAAACCAGGTAATACGGCCTTGAATGACTCCTAGTAATTTCCACATCAGGAAAGAGCATTTTACAGAGATTTCATAGCGAAATCGCGTTTTCGTGTGGGTTCTGGGTACATGAGTGCGAGAGGCCTACATTTCGCGATGGCCAAAAACCTTAGAAAGGTCTCCACTTTTCAGCGTTCTGATGCACGGAATGCTGCGCTGGCTAGGACAAAACAGACGCGGCAGGCCGTAACGTTTAAAACAAAGTTGTAGAGTGAAGAAAACCTTGCGCACAGTG